GGCCGAGGCCACTGGCAGGTCAAGTTCTGGATAAACATTATGGACACCAGCAGGGCACCACCTCCAATATGCAGTGACTTGCTAGTATCAGGGGTATTGCTCAAGTGTGGGTTACATTGGAATTTTCCAGGGCCTTAAAAAGTGACTGTGGTGCTAACAGATGGGGGATTTGACAAAGCTGATCCAGAGTCTGTGTAGTCTTCAGGCTTTCTAGGAAGAGTATGAGGTCACAGTTTGGCCATTTTTGTCCCCTAAGTTTGTTTGCCTTGAGCTGGTCTAGCACCAAAACAGGGAACTCCTAGATGATACTGTATGAACAGTAATCTGAGAACAATACCAAGTGTTCATTTATTGCTTCATATTTGTAAAACATTCCCACTTTCTCTGTTTCCCTAGTCCTCCTATAAGCTTTAGACTGTTTATAGCAATCTTCATTTTACAGGTATGAAAACTGAGAATTTTCCTTCTTTTCTGTGTAGTCAGTGGATACCAAAGAAAGACTTGAACCTTTGAGAGAGGCTCTTTTGCTTATAAATCTGGAGCTCTTTTCAATGGACACAGTGCCTGTGGGGCCTGGACTGTGGCAAGAAGAGACTAGGGAATGTGATGACGGTAAGGAGAGTGGTGGGGGGAAAGGGGTGAGAAACTTTGAGAGCATCTCATTCTGGCCATCTTGGGAGGTTCCAGACCAAGGACCAATAACTCTCGAATGCCCATGGGGTAAAAGTCAGATGTAAACAAAGGCCTTTCATAGATGGAAGGAGTCACAGTCAGTCATGTGGGGGAGGTTCTGTATGGAACATAGAGGCAGAGGGTGGAGTCTGTTTCCATTGAGCAGCCAATCCCATGGAATCTCGATCTTTCAGCACCAGCCGATGGGATCTGTCAGCTTATACTACTTGTTTTCACTCCCATGCTGGCTTGGTTACTACAAAGTTGAAACTTTGGAAATTGAATCCATTTACTCCACTCTAGTACAGTGTTTGGCTTCTTTTGGCAACCTCGGCATGCTTCTATCAGGAGGGAACATCAGAAGGGCCATCAGAATTGCCATTGCAATGAGAGAGAGAGAGAGACAGACAGACAGACAGACAGAAAGCACCCCCACACTCCCAACCACTGGTTCACTTCTCAAATGCTCAGGAATCAGGCGCCAAATCCAGCTTCCTTATGAATGAGAGAGACCCAAGTATTTGGGCCAACACCTGCTTCATTCCATGGTACGCATTAGCAGGAAGCTGGAATCAGGAGAGTGGGCTGGACTCTTCCTCAGGTGCTCCCATGTGAGATGATATTCCAGGTGGCATCTCAACTACTCTGCTGAACGCTCAGCCCCTTGTCACTTTTCTACCACCAGAGAAGCGTGTGAGAATACAAACACTAGTACATGATAATATTGTGATTTTAGGCTAGATTCTCACACTAGTATCTCACGGAACAGTCCTCAGTGACATCTTTCAAGAAAATTTCAGTGGATTATAAACAAGAAATCTGGAGATATCTTATTAACATCTGAATTTCAGGATATTAAAAAAAAGAGGAACATGACTGTACTAGCTCCATAACGCTGCATGGCCATAATACACTGGGACCAAATGCTCACTACAAGGCGCCTAGCTTAACTTCTTCATGCTTCCAGGCTGCGTCCTGTAGGTGTATATGTCTTCTAAATCCTGTTCAAAAGTTACCCTGAACCCCTTTATAATTTTATTTGCAACTTTAGTAATAGCAAGAAACCACTTCCAACCCACTTCATAATGTTTGGACACGTGCTTATATGCCATGGCCTACTGGTTGAGAAACATTTTCCTATGAAGTTGTGTCTTCAGGTTTCCCCAAGACGTGCATGCAAGTCTGCTCTTGGCTTATAGCTTCTCTAAGCAGATGGTAATCAGGCATAAACATTGCCTGGACTATGGATCTGGGCAGTTATGGCTAGAATCCTAACTTCCATGCTTTGTAGTCAGTTACTATTTTTTAAATAATGGAGCTAGCTACCAGAATAATTAAAAGAGGGAGTAAATCTTTAAAAAGTAAAAAAAAAAAAAAAAGCTTATTTATATAACTCAAATAAATAAGAGCTGCTCCTGGCCCAATGATGAGAATGCCATGACATCCAATATTACGTCCCTGAGCTCTTTTACAAAGGAAAACAAAAATCCTAGCCTACTCAACCTAAAATCTCTAAATTTTTAATAGGAGATTTATTGAGATGTATCTGTGTACAATTAATGGCCTTCTCTTTACTTTGAAGTGTGCAAATAATTCTGTTTAATCACTTTCATATTATGCCCAGGGGTACTAGAAAATTAGATTCTATTGCTGTTGCCACTAGTCCTGAGTGCTCACATTTCTGCACAGTGCCTTTTATCATGTTTTCTTGCATTTGTAAAAGAGATGGAGGTGGCTTGAGTCCTCCAATTTACTAAACAGTCTTTTATTTAGAAGGGGACCACACATGAAAAGAGACTTGGCACTCTGCTGTCAAGCAATAGCTTTTGAAATAGGACTATTAAGCTTAATTAAAAGAGAAAGACACATAATGGATGATATTTGATCTCCTAGGAAGGAGTGTATAACCCCTGCAGATGAGGAATGTGGTGGATCTCCTCAGGTAAACAATTTTTATGTCCTCTATCACTTATTGTATCAATGACAATGGCAAGGCAGCATAAAATACCACATAATAAAATCACTACACAACTTGTTGAAAATTACACTCAGTTTGATTGAAAAAAGATGTTGAACTGTGTCGTGGTGAAAACATTCTTTATCATTCTGTACAGAAGAAAAGCCAAGTAGTAAACCTTTCAGTGTGTTTGACAAGTCTGTTAATAGATACAGCTAATCACCACAAAATGCACCTTATTCTACTGGAAAATCTTAAGAAATAAGCTGGGGCTGGTGCTGTGGTGTGGTGGGTAGGGCTGCTGCCTGCATTGCCAGTGACCCATATGAGCACAGGTTCAAGTCTCTTATTCCGATCGAGCTCTCTGCTATGGCCTAGGAAAGTGAAAGAAGATGGCCCAACTCCTTGGGTTCCTGCACCTGTGTGAGAGACTTGGAGAAAGCTACTGGCTCCAAGTTTCAGATGAGCCCAGCTCCAGCTGTTGTGGCCATTTGGGGAGTGAACCAGTGAATGAAGGATCTCTTTCTCTCTGCATCTGCCTCTCTAACGCTGCCTTTCAAATAAATAAATCAATCTTAAAACAACAACAAAGAAGCCACATTTTCCTATTTACCAAGGGAGGAAATAAACTCTGTGCTCTAATGATGTTATAACATTATTCATCATACTTGATGCATGAGTTCAAAATCAGTATTAGTCATACCACACTGAGCTCTTTATTACCAGAAATATGTGATAGTTTTTACACCATAAGTTTTCAGATTCAATAGGCAGATGGTAGCTGCTGAGTACCCCCAAACTGGAGCAAGTTAAATTTAAACACAACTTGATAGTTCACACATTTGTGTAAGGGACTTGGTTAAAACCAAACAGAATTTGATGACATTTACAAATATTTGCACTATCTTATAGAACGGCTGCCCGATTCTGATGTGGTCTTCTTCCCTGTTTCTTTCTCCAGGTCTTTTCAAGGGCGATGATTGCATGAATTGACCAAAGGGAAATGAACTACTGTGTGTTCCTCTGGACTAGCTCTTCCATCGACTTGAAGCCTTTGGTTAGAGAACAGGAGAAGCTGTGAATGTCACTTATTGTGAATTATGAAGAACGCCTGCTCATGTAAGGTCTTGCAAAAGAAAATAGTATTTTTTTCTCTCATTGGATTTTCATTTGTGATCAATATTTTTAAAAGAATGTTCCAAGGAACACTAATCTCATAGTGAATTCCCCATGTTCAGAGATTTTAAGGCAATAACAATGTTGCATTTTCCAGCAGAAAGAATTCATTGCTTTTTAGAAATGCTAGTAAATTATATTTAAAATCTAGATTTATGATTTTCTTAAAAGAAAATATGCCAATATAGTGGCTATACCCTGAAATAGAAATAATTTCTTGTGGATCCTATTATTTAGAGCAATTTACGTGTCTGGATTCTGGAATCTTTTTACTTGACTCCTGCTGTTCTAGTCTTTCTAAATACATAATGTCCTTTGATGTACTGAAGGATCAAATGACTCCCCTGGTATTTCTATTTTACCTTGTTTAGAAATATTTCTCCAATGTGGATGGAAGTTTTTTTTTTTTCACAATTTTGGGATGTACTGTTCTGGAAAATTATTTGAGTTTATAATGCAAGGCAAATTTTAGCATATTGCTATAAATTCAAAAAAATTCAGATTTGCTGGTATAAATGTTATGTGGTTGCAGGCAAATATTTATGAAAGTGGCAAGTCAAGTTTTTCAGTCAGGATTCTTTTTCCATTTCTGAATGCTTTTACAGAAGTTCAAGATACAGAATCAGTTTATCTGGTTAAAGTGTCAACACATCTGTTCAGACTTCAGGCCATGTTGGTGGAGATCAAGGTGCCTCTTGATTTCACTTGAGAGTTAAGACTAGAAAGTCCAGATTATGAGGTCTGTTGTGCTGCTGCCAGAATAAGAAGTCCTATCCACATGTGTTTCAGCAAGGAGGTTTTAAAGAAAATGCAGATATGCTTGCAGATGATTGGATAGCAATGCAAAGAACTGTTCTGCTGTCTCCAAGAAAATGAAAACCTAGGTAGATCTTTTCTTCCTTTAAGTATCAACTGAGTAACTTTAAAGAAGATGGACAATAATTAATTCTGGGGCATGAGCTCCATTTCTGTCATCCTGGTGATCACTCTTGTAGGCTGAGTATGGGATTTGATAATGCATCTTGCTGACAAAGGACTCTGCAATAGGAGCAGTAGATTTCTTGGTGGCTGGGAATAATGACCATCATGGAAGCAAGGAAGTTTAGGGTACCTGTGAGCATTGTAGCAGGGTGTGTTTGGATTCAGTTAAAGGTGATTCAGTAAAAACAAATGGCAAATAAAGAGGACAAGTAGATTTAGAAAGAAGTTATTTACCACTTTAATAGGGCTGTCCAACATTGGGTCACATAGATCATTCTGGAACCTAATTGCTTTCATAGGCTTCCTATCTCACCAGAAGAGAGCTGAGTTCTCTAGGAAAAAGCAAATCAAACATAGAAAGAGATGCCATGATAAGACTTGTTGCTACAGCACTATGTAGTTAACGATGCCAGACTTTGGATTTAGTTAGAGAACATTTCTGCAGTCTAAGACAGCTATACAAAGCCTTAAGACATTGTATTTACATGACTTATTGATACAGGGATCTACTTCCTACCACAGCTCTGCCAGAGTCTTAATAGCATGGTGGAGCAGTTCCCTCTAGAATCCTCATTTTCTTATCTGTGAAAAAGCTAGTAGTTCTAAAAATATTTTCCTGGAAGAGGTTAGAATGGTTATCATATATCAATTGAATATAAAGTATGGTTATGTAAGCCAAGCTTGCATGCTAATATCGCACAGGGTAGAAAGCAATAAAACAGGACGATGTGCTTCCTTGGGCCATCTGGGAGAAACAGAAGGAAGCTCTTGATTCAGTATCTTTATGATGCCTCAAATTCCAGGAGTCCACCTGTAGCTGGCCTTCCAGTGGCATTACCACATTGAATTCTCAAAAGGGCACATATCTTCCTTGCTGATAGAAAGAAAAATGACAAAAACCAAAACAAAACAAAATAGACAAGACATCTGAAACTTAAATAGATAACACCAGCCGTCTCAAACAGTGGTACTGTTCATTTCTTGAAGAGAATATATAATATTTCAAAATATTATATATACATATATTTCAAATGGTACAAAGTAACTGTAGATCCAAATTAGAAGACAGTTGATCCTTCATGATACCCACAATTTTCACTGAGAAAACCCTTTTTAAAAATCCACTTTCAATGTTGTTGCCAAAAACTCCGAGTCTTCTCACTATGGGGTATTTCATTACACACAGTAAATGCACTATGATTATCTGGTAACCAGTCAAAGTGCACAGAAGCAATCCATTTGGTTTGTAAATGTGTAAGATGTTTGGAATTCTCAAAATGTGTTTTCCACAGGAATGATTTTCCTTTATTATCACAAAAGCTTCTGTTAGGTTCTTGGATGGATCTGAAACCAAACAAAGAGAATTTCAGCGAGAGATGTAGTAAATGGAGGCACACACAAAAAAATACAATTATTCAGTAAATGAGGACCTCTTGAATCTTTATGATGTTGCTTCCTTCAGATGATCCGAAGTAAGAAAACATTCTTTAAAAATTACAGCAGTTCTCAAATGGTGAGCAAAGCATATTTGACAGGCTATGATATTTTCATCACTGTATTAAGTTAATTAGTGTCACAACTAAGGGAAAAGACTCTTGGAACAATGTTTATCTGTGACTCTCTTCATGGACGTGTGACCTATGCAGCTGCACAGGGTTCTGAAAAGGGCCTCACACTGTGTTTAATGCCCTGTTATTATTTTCTTGAACTTTTTAGTACTTTTTGAGCAAAAACCCGCATTTTCATTTTTTCAAGGGGCCCTGCCAATTACATAATCACTCCTGTGTCTATCTGATGCAGTTTGACCTCAGCAGGTCACTTCATGGTCTTGTTCAGGTTGAGCTGTTCTAAGACACAGAGTGGTGGTATAAGGTTATCACAAAGGTTAGACCACATCTATATAGGAACATAGGAGATCTTGGCAAGATGGACAACTGCTCTGCTCAAGGATACATTGTTAAGGGCAGTCAAGAGCACACTTCTATAACTATTGATTCAATTTAATCCATTTGAATATGGTCCCCCAAAATGAAATATTTAAAATCAAACATGCACAGAGAACCACTGTTGTATAGCATAACTGATGATTTTAACAGAGTTGAAGTCTTTAGAGTTCAAGGAAAAAATGGCTTTCTTGTCATCTCTAAATTCTTTATAGTTTTAGAAATTCAGTGTTCCGATTCTGGGAGTGGAAGTCCATTTGAAGCTTTTAGAGTTAGGCAGGAACAGCAATAAAAGTTTGCATCCAAAATGGGTTGGACAAAAGTCAGCATGTATGAGAAATTTCCATGTATTTATTTTCATATCCTTTCCTTTTGATTTCCTACATTCCAGTGGCCTTTATCTAGCCTTTTTCTTACACTGGGGGAGGAGAAAGTGGTGTTTCCAAAATGGAATGCAAATTACCTTTTTGTTCCTCTGACCCTGGTCTCTGTGGAAGACCAGGACCTCTGTCAAGTTCACCAGCACATCCACAAGATGTTAATACAGTAAATTTGGATAGTAGAGCCTTTAATATATTTATTGGCTAAAAAAAATGAATGAGTTCACTTGAATCTGAGGTAACAGTGATAGGACCATTTGGTTTATTCTTCCTGCCTTCCTGTAATCTTCAAATCTCTCAACATTTTCATGCTTATTAATGTTTCCTTCTTATTTTCCAATACTTTATCCCTCTGGCCAGCAACTGTTATTATCTCTTTAGAATCTTTATTTCTTTCTCTTAAAAAGTATTTCATGCAAAAATGGACTGGAAGTAAGGATTAGAAAGCTATGGGCTTTCAGAACATTCAGAGCATGTACAAGTTGAAGAGAAGTTGAGATATGTCAAAGATGGTACTTTTTCATTCCACTCATATAAAAACAGTGGGGGCAATTAGAATAGGTAGAGACTCACAAAACCTGGGTTACTGTCAGGATGTAGGACCCAGTAGACTGTGGACAAATGGTATGTTGGATTAGTGTTGGGCCAATTTGAACAAATGGCCATGGTAGTCACTTGTGCAATCTCGGCTCTGATAACCCCTCCTTTAAGGAATGAAATTTGTGTACGAATTGTTGATCTCATTAGTCTGGAAGAGCCTCTCATATTGTACTGAAGCAAATCCAAAGTTGTTTGCTGCTTGCTAAGGCTTTACACTGGGTTATGTGCTGCTGCTTTAATCTGCTATTTTTCCTTTCAAGTGACCTTGGTTTTCTCCTCATTTCAAGCCCCCTTCTTCTTCCTGTCCTCAAATAACTGATGCTAAGTTTGAGATAGAATTATCACATCATTGTCAAGTAATTTATTTCCTCCAGGGGAAGTCTGTCTTTCAAAATTAAGCCACTGTTCCTGAGTACATGGGATATAGTCTCTATAATGTTTAAACTTACATATTTGTTAGGTTAAAGTCAATAAATAAAGGAGTGGATATCTAAAACAACAGGAAAAGAGCACTAGTCAATAATCAGACTAGTTAGTTTTACTACTAATTTTAGCCAAGCAGTTTAATGAAGCAATTTATGTTAAGATCAAGAAGGGGTAAGGTAAAATTTGGCCATGAAACTTCATCCAGATGTACTATTCTTCTTCTACTTAGAGAGTGTGTGCCACTAGCTTTATTCTACTCTAAGCTGGTTTTGAGAAACCTCTCAGAGTTGCCAACTTCCTTCCTATATGGTGACATCCGGGAGTTTTTTCTCCTCTTATGTTTTGTATTTTCTCCTCTTATGTATTCTCCCAAATACCCCCAAAAGATTTTTGCCCAATTCCACATCTCCTTTCTCCTTCCTTCAGTAACATAGTCACCCAGATGCAATTGTCCCAAGGTCCTTAGAAAGTAGCTTGTCACCCTGGCTAGTCACCATTATCATTGTCTGGTAGTTTAAATGAAACACTGAATTTTCACTCTCTAGCCTTTTTAAAAAATGAGTATCAGAACATTTTAAATGCATCACACTTTGAAACATCTGCTTATCTACATTTGCAAGACTCCTGAGAATTTTCTCTTAGAATTATTATTTTGGAAGTAACCTAAAAAGTAGGATTGTATCTATGGAATACATGAAATCTGTTCTCTTTAATATTAACAAAAGAATATAAACAAAGAAGAATAAAAAACTCTTTTTTTAATATAGGGAAAGAGAATGGGGTCCAGAGATTTTTCTTGCAATAATTTCTACATTGGAGTTACTTTTAAAGTAATAGTATGTTGGCAAGTCTCAGTTGCCATTAATAATTTGGGCTATTTCTTCAGCTTTTACAAAAGATTTATTTATTTATTTGAAATGCAGAGTGGAAACAAGAGAAGGAGAGTGAGAGCGAGAGAGAGATAAAGATCTCTCATGCCCACTGGTTCACTTCCCAAATGGCTGCAACAGCCATGGCTGGGCTAGGATGACACAGGAGCCTGGAACTCTATGTGGGTCTTCCATGTAGGTGGCAGGGGTCCAGGTATTTCTGCCATCTTCTGCTGCTTTGCCGGACACATTAGCAAGGATCTGGATTGGAAGAACAGCAGGGACTGGGACCAGTACTCTAATATGGATGCTGGTGTTGCAAGTGATGCTTAACCCACCGCACCACAATACCTAGTCTCTTTTCTGTTTTCTTTGGATCAGCTTTACACACCAGACCGAAAGATGTTCTTTTTTTTTTTCCTTCCCTCTTTGATATGAATAGGACAAGGTAGATGTACAACTTATAATGAGAAAATGAATTTGTGAATGAAATCATTAAAAGTAAAATTCCTATAGTGTGTAGGCACACAGAGGCTCTGGAGTACAAGAAAAAGTACTAAAAACCTACTGTCAGAGAATGTGATCTCAGGAGAGGGGCTTGCACACCACTTTTCTAGAACAGAAGGCTCTGTTCCTCTGGAATTTCTTGGTGACTTTTGTGTGCAAACTACGTTTCATTGTGAATTTCCTAGGCAGGTAGGGGAGACACTGTATGTCAAAGGTGTTGGAGTTCCCGGAAAGTTTAAAAAGTCTATGTTTTTGAGTGTTCTCTTTTTCTGTCTATAAATACAGACTTGAAAATTCTAAGTTGTCTCATACATGACTGTAAAGTAGACTCTTATTTCCTGGCTTGAAACAGACTCATACATCAGAATAAGTACATCCTCAGTTTTCAAACCAACTGCAAGGACAATGTGTGTCTCTTACACAGCCAGCTGTCTAGTTGTGCTCTGCCCATCCAGGGTGGTGGCAAACAGTGTGCTCTAGCCTCCTTGACCCTGATCAGATTCTGCACACAACTCCTGTGAAGCCAGATAATGGATGTTTGGGAGTGTATTTAAAACATGCTCAAGCATTTTGTAATATACTTGACAGAGGTCAAATCAAAGAAGTCACAGAAGTCAATAAAGAGGAAGAGATAATTTTTATTTTATTTTTTTTGAGTTTATATTTTATCTTCCAAAGAGTCTCCTAGTTGCTTCTCTTAGAACTTCATGTATTTGAATCTCAAAAACATTTGACTATCTTTATTTTCGTGTACTTGAGTTTTAGGTCTGCAGAGATCATGAAAGCAAGACTTACCTTCTATAATGAGTGATTGGTTACCCTTTAGATTTGGGAATAGAGTTTTGGAAACAAAGCCAGTAGCAACATGTTTATAGAGTAGGTAATGGGGACCATCCATACAGGACATAATTAAGAGTAGCTTAAATCAAACCAGCTTTTGAGGGCACCTCCAAATTATGTGACAAAATCATTTTCAGGCAAAAATGACCAAAGGGAAGTATGATATTCCTCCTCCCCTAGCTAATCAAAATGATTTCTCTAGGGAAATGGCAAAAGCCAGGCTCATTTGTGAATATTCTTTTCTGCACATGTTGCCTTGAAATGAAACACAATAGTCCCTGGTGAGCTATGGGTACATGCAGAAGTGTGTCAGCAATGCAGGGTAGTTCAGAAGTTCCTCCTAGCCACAGGCTAGAGAGGTATGGCCATGGTTAATATGATCTATAGAGGCAACCAAATTTGACATTCAAAGTATCTCTACTTATTTTATATTTGAAAAACAAGAGCTTTATAGAGTATTAGATAACATCACTCTTATTTTCTTTAGCATCAAGCGAAAGAGTCAAGTATACTTATGAAGAGATGATGCTGAGAAGGATCACATTAAGACTCATAATATGGGATTGGATTCAGAGATGCCCTTTCAAATTGAGGCATCATTTGGTAGATGTTTAATATATGTAAAGTTTAATATATGAGGTCTGTAACTGGTGGAGCTTGCTTTAAAAATATTCAGATACACACACATACATACCAGGGCTTATCTTGAGTTGGTACATATGTAGATAAATATACTTATTGCTAAAATATTGACATGCACTTATATTAGTGGGCAAATCATCGCTGTCTGATGTTTCCCAAGCATCCTCCAATCCCTTCATGATTCCCAGACTGTTCAGTCCCTATAGGGCTAGTGGCTGCCCTAACTGGGTCTCTATCTTGCTCTAGGCACCAATTCTGAGGGTGGGATAGCCTTTTCCTACAGGTTGTCATTGTACATTTTGAAGATTACTCCTGAATTAACAAGCGAAATCAAGAAATGATTCTAACACCTCACAAAAACCTTCTCACTTCTCTAAAATGCCATCAAATAATTCCTTTAAAGAGCTGGAGACAATGGCTGAAACAGTCTGAATGAATTAGATGAGGCCCTTATTTGATTGTCATTCTGAGTGCCATTGTTATGTGAATTATTCGAATAATTACCTCACTGTTCCCTTTCCCTCAGGCTATGACAGCCCAGCTTTATTTATGAGTCTGTAAGAGAAGCACTACACTGCTCTATGTGGAAAAGTCAAGTTCAAAGTCTGACTTATTCATGAACAGACACTGTTCTGCACAGTTACGGATATGTTCAGTCAGGAAAAAAATCTTCCTTCTTTTCCATTCAAAGTTTCTCTGGATGCTATTTGCACAACACCAAGGCAGAGAGCTCAGTATGTAACATGCATGAGACATGGGAAATTAGTGAACTTACTCGTGTGGTCTTAATTTTGTTGCCTGTCGCGCACATCCATCCAGAATTGTCAGGGAGTGTCTTACATTCTTCTCCCTCTAGACAAGGCTCCATCTCACACCACCATTTCCCAATCACAATGGAGGCTGTGTGGAAAAACAAGACAGCACTGTGTTTGTAATTCATCCAGACCACCTGGGCATGCACACCATGTCCCTCTTCAGGTTTGTTTTGTTTGTTTGTTTTTGGCAGATAGAGTTAGACAGTGAAACAAAGAGAGAAAGGTCTTCCTTCCATTGGTTCACCCCTCAAATGGCCGCTACGGCCGGCGCTGCACCGATCTGAAGCCAGCAGCCAGGTGCTTCTTCCTGGTCTCCCATGCAGGTGCAGGGCCCAAGCACTTGGGCCATCCTCCACTGCCTTCCCAGGCCACAGCAGAGAGCTGGACTGGAAGAGGGGCAGCCGGGACAGAATCCGGCGCCCCAACCGGGACTAGAACCCGGGGTGCTGGCGCTGCAGGTGGAGGATTAGCCAAGTGAGCTGCAGTGCTGGCCTCTCTTCAGGCTTTAAAGCTCTTGAAGCACAGGAAGCCTACTTTCATCTCCCGTGACTAAGAAAATTCTGTTAGGAAAAACAGGATTTCAGTTTATCAACCTCATAACATGTATATAATTACATTGTTAGGTTTCATCAAGCAGCAACGTGTCCAAAATCTGTTTCAATGATGAAAACATGTGCAATGGGGAGACTCGCTCTTTGGGTCTTTAGGAAATTCTGCTAGATTTTGTATGTCATGGACCCGGTACCATTACTTTTCAGTGAAGCAGACAAAAGAGCCAGGTGCTGTTCAGAATGACTTCTTTCCAGATAGGTTAGTTGATCTACCCAGCATTAGGGTTTATGTCCTTAGCCCAGAGCCTTGGAGAACTTCAAAGACCCAGCAAAGGAGAAAAATGAACAGACTACAAGGACAGAAGGAAAGTTGCAAAATAGAAGTCAAGAGGAATAATACCTGAGGATATTTCTTTCCAGTCAAAAGTATGGCTGATAGGATTGTGGCTTCTTTCAAATGTTTGATAGGACATGAGTGCAGCTCTCACATGCAGATCTGTTGGTTAAAAATCAGCCCTCCTTTTCAGGTTGACGTCAAGGATGGCCAGAGTAAGAAGCTGCCACCAAGTTTAGCATATATGTGTTTTGATAATGAGATTCTAGAACCAGCTACTAGAACCACTCAAGCCAAATCAAGAAGCTCCACATCCCTCTTCAAGTTCTGAGTGAAAAATAGTTTCTACCTAAGCACCGGTCATTTCTGCAGCTCCTCGAGGCCTTTGCTCTGCTCAGATTCATATGGACTTTGCTATTTGGAAGCATCAAGTCATGAGCCTTGTTTGTTTTATGAGACTTCCCAATGGGCTGTTTTGGCACTGGGCCAAGACTCTTATCTACTTCTTTATATTCTCATCCATCAATACCCACATCCCAAAGAGGAGTCTCCACCATGGTGTTTAATCCTCACACTGACAAAGAAATCAAGTGACATCTGTTAATGCCACAGGAGATCCATGTTAAAATGGAATGGAGTAAACTCTGCAGTTATCAGGTGCACGTGGGAATTGGCTACTCACTCAGCGTTCGGCAGACAGTAGAGTGCCTCCTTAAAAGCACAATGATTTAAACATGAAGACATCTGTGTTTAGGTGTTCCTTCTATGCTTTCTTTGTTTTGGTCTTTCCCTCCCTTAAAATTCGGTATTCCTCAATTTTCACTTTGAGTGAAATTATCATGTAGGGTTACATATGCAAACTCAGATGTACTTGGGACAACACCTGGCTCCCGGCTTTGGCCTGCCCAGCCCTGGATGGTGCCTCCATGTGGGGAGTAGACTTACAGATGGAAGGCCTCTCTGTCTCCCTCCCCCTGTTACTCTGCCTTCAAATAAAATAATAAAAAAAAAAAGTCAGGTGTACTCTATTATTTTGTCAATTTAAGAAATTTTTCAAAAAATGATTTTTCCATGTTTTATTTTTTGCCTTACATGTGAGCCAGGCCAGTACATTTCAATTGCACCTTCATTGGATCTGGTGAGCAAGGCATCACACATGTGATAAAACCTTGTTAATAGTCCAGTCAATATGAGCAATAACAAGATATTTTGATAAAACAGAGTGAAACGGAAGACAGAAATCCTCTACTGCATCCAAACCCTTTAAGAGTACAAAATGATTCTAAGAGTTCTTCATTTTTATTTATTTATTTGCATTTTAATAGCATAGGTTATATCCAGGCATGAGGCAGTGGAAAACTGTTGACCTGGTCAAAAAGACTTATTTGACTATGTCACCACTTAAAGAAACAACTTTTAAGAAAAGCACGTGTTTGGGTGGCAAGAACAACACACAAAGTGTTGAAAGGGGTTAAAAATTATAAAAATTTGTGGGAAAGTAAGATAAAAATCAGCAGTATTTTTTGAAAAGCCATTATCGGAAGCTGCCTTTTGGCTGGCACTTCCTTAGAAACAGTCCAGGCACATTTATTACCACATACGATGTGTATTCTTGATAGCCTGCCTCCTATTTCAATATCACTGCCCTGAAAATGAGGGGCATTAGGACTGGAAACTCTCTCAGCGCGTATCTGAGATGAAAGAGCTGGTCCCAACACTCCTTCAATTTAGCATGCTCCATTCTTTCTGCACGAAAGCATGCCAATAAATGAGCACCTGCCGATGGGGTCAGCCTTTAGTATTTTCTGCCTTCTTCTAAGAAGCCTGGGTCTTCTTCCTTTAAGTTGCTCTCTGCCCTATTGGAGCTGACCTACTTTGATGCATGCTAACAAAGTAGTTTCCTTTTTTTTTCCCAGCATGAATGTCTCCTAAATGAAAATGTAGACAGTAGGAAAAAAAGGTCTCGAAACCCTATATATCATCTTTAATTTAAAATTTGTAATGATCCACTGGCTCAAGGGAGAAAAGAAAAGCCTTTCTAAATAAAAATGTCCTCAGACCTGCTTATAATATCTAAAAATTCATGTGACAGTTGCCTCTCCTAAACAGAGTTTTATGATCTGGCACTATCTTCTGGCTTATTCGAATCTAGTTCATTCTTTCGGTGTTGCTTTTGTAAAAATGCTATTGAGCCAATCTTTTTTTTTTTTCTTTGACAGGCAGAGTGGACAGTGAGAGAGAGAGACAGAGAGAAAGGTCTTCCTTTTGCCGTTGGTTCACCCTCCAATGGCCGCCACTACCAGTGCGCTGTGGCCAGCGCATCGCGGTGATCTGAAGGCAGGAGCCAGGTGCTTCTCCTGGTCTCCCATGGGGTGCAGGGCCCAATGACTTGGGCCATCCTCCACTGCACTCCTGGGCCATAGCAGAGAGCTGGCCTGGAAGAGGGGCAACTGGGACAGAATCTGGCGCCCCGACCGGGACTAGAACCTGGTGTGCCGGCGCCACAAGGCAGAGGATTAGCCTATTGAGCCACGGCGCTGGCCTTGAGCCAATCTTGTTTATGATTTAAGTGTTATTGTGATCATTTAGAAATGTATCTCTTGGGGCTGGTGCTGTGGTATAGTGGATAAAGCTGCTGCCTGCAGTGCCAGCATCTCAAAAGAGCACAGGTTCGAGTTCCAGCTGCTCCTCTTCCCATCCAGCTCTCTGCTATGGCCTGGGAAAGCAGTAGAAGGTGGCCCAAGTCCTTGGGCCCCTGCACCTGCATGGGAGACCCAGAGGAAGCTCCTGGCTCCTGGCTTCGGATCGGCACAGCCTCAGCCATTGCGGCCATCTGGGGAGTGAACCAGCGGATGGAAGACCTGTCTCTGTCTCTACCTCTCTCTGTAACTCTTTCAAATAAATAAAATAAAAAATCTTAAAAAAAAAAGATAAAGAAACTTTGTCCTCCTTAGCCCCTTCTCACACACATATAGGCTATTTTCTAACTATCTACCTAAAATTCACCTTTCAAGAGAGGTTAACTCATAAAATCCGTGTGTGTGTATGTGGAGAGAGAGAGAGAGAAAGAGTTAGAGGGGAGGGGGGGAAGAGAGAGAGAGAGAGAGAGAGAGAGAGAGAGAGACTCTGCTGAGTAAAATAATTCTATTGTATTACTAATGACAATGAATTTCATATCAAACACAAATACTCAGGGAACATAAAAACATGTAGTTTCTTGTAAAATTAAATTAACTCAGGGCAGGCATTTGGTACAAGCTGTTAAGTGATTACTTAGGAAGCCCATATTCCATATTAGAGTGCCTGGTTCAAGTCCCCACTTTTCTACTTCCAATCTGGCTTCATGCTAATAGGCATGCTAGAAGGCAGGAGATGATGACTTAAGTACTTGGGTGAAATGGATTGAGTTCCAGGATCCTCATTTCATTTCAGCCCTTTCAGACTGTTGTGAGCATTTGGGGAGTGAACCAGCAGGTGGAAGATGTCTCAAATAAAATAAGTAAAAGTTTTAAAAATTAAATTGAGAAAATCAACTGGGCAAGAGAAAGTTTACCCTACTTGGTTTTGTGTGGTCTGAGCCACACATTGCTTGATGTCATTAGTCACAGCGTTTTAATGTACTTCCTAAAAGTGAGCATTTTTGAAGTCAAGAGAAACTTGTGAGGTAGAAGAGTAGCTGCTCTACAAACCTTTTATTTCCTACAGGAACTTAATTATGTTATAAAAACTTTCTTTTGTCTAATTATTATTTAACAAAGATCTTTAAGGTCCCTTTTAACCCTATACTGTTCTGAGATTTGCTCTATGAAATGTGCCATGTTCAGGGAAACATCTGTTACTCAAGTGTTTCAAGAATGTTCATCCTTCCTTGAGTCATTCCTAAAAACACTAAACCCACTTTAATCAAGAATCTTGATGTCTTCCTTCTGCTGGGTCATTTTTACAGAGCAAAAGAGACTATAAAAGGAGAATCAATCCATCTTTCACCACAATCTCTAAATGCAGTAGAAATCCTTTTGTCTTTTGTTGTTGTTTTTACCATTGTCCACTTATTAGGCATTTTCCATGGAAATACAGTGAGATACTAATAAATAAACATTATATTATATTGCCTAACATCTGCAGGCCCATATTTTATCATTTCAACAAATAATATTTGACTCTCAATTCAGCAACTGTTCAAAGTAATATCTAATACAT